TCCTCACCGTCCATCCCTCCTGAATCAAACATCACACCATAAGTGTATTCTTTCTTCAATCCAAGCTAGCTGGTGTCGCTGATCTAATTGTCTATTATTTATACAGGTCAAATATGCACAACATCAATCTTGCTTACTTGGAGGTTGAACGGCAAATGCAGGCAACCTACGAGCATCAACAAAGGGACAACCGCGCAATCCGGGTCCAAACTGAGGCCTCCTTCGTTGAGCAGGAGAACACCCGCAAACGACTTCAAGATGAAGAAGCAGCCCTGCTACCGTTTGCTCTGGGTGCAATGGGATGCCCAGGCGTTTTTCGTCAACTTCGCACGTATCTAACACGACATGATCTACCACGAAATCCACTGGCAGACAGTGCTTGGGCGTTGTTATGAAGGTCACGAAGCGATCGGGCTTTTGTTACAACAAAGAGGATTGATGTGGCGACTTTTGATAATCTCCTCAAACAATTTGCGACCCGGTGGGATACAAGAACGATCAGCCGTGGCGATTTGAACCCCAATGGGGAGCCTCAAATAGGACGGCGTTGTCTGGATGCACCTAGCTGTCTGGGTTTAGTTCTACACTGGCTTTGCTCGACAATGGCGGCGTACACCCTCCAGCAACTGTTTGCTATCACCGGTTTGGTGTGTTCAAGATACCTAGCTTATGGAATGGACCTCCTCTTGGAAGTCCTTCAAGAGCATCCTGAAGCGCGTTTCTTATGGCCAACTAGTGAAGCAAGGCTCGTCGGCACAGCAAGGCAATCCAAAAAAAATTCCCGACTCTAAAGAAATGTATTGGATTCTTAGATGGATTAAATTTACCGGTTTTAGTCTCAGGCTATGAAGAGTAGGTATTTGTCTGGTTGTAATCAATTCTTGTTGGAAACTCAACTGACATGGAAAATCATAGTATTCAAAATGCATACTACAATGGGTGGACTTGCTCCCACTATTGTAGTTGCATCTTTGTCTTTGCCCCAGATGGATCAATCATGTATGTGATCCTCAATGCCCCAGGATCTTGGCACGACTCGACTATTGCGGAGCCACTGTATGAGCAGCTCCTCGAACAAACACCTGTTGGATATTGAGTCATCAATGATACTGCGTTCCCTCGGAAGAACGAAAGTATCCAACAGCAGATCCTGGCCCCTGTCAAGCGTGGTGATTGATTACCGTCTTCTCCACATGCATATGTGACTTTGAGGACACGGAACGAGGAGATTGTCTCAGCTCGCCAAGCCGCAGAGTGGGGGATGAGGTCGCTTCAAGGTTCCTTTGCGCACTTGAAGCTTCCTCTGCCAGCCGACAATCATGGCTTTAGACTCAAGGTTCTCCAGGTGGTGAGCCGTCTTCATCAAGTTCGATGTCGACTCGTTGGGATCAATCAAACACGCACGGTCTACGCTTCAGTATGGGACGATTATCACATTCTGTGCCGTGATTTCCACAAAATGCTCTTTGCGGATATTGAAGGGCAATGCCGCATTAGTCGTTATTATGATAATTGGTTGTAATCAATTTTTTCTGGCTAATCTTAATTCTATTTAATTGAGATTTTCATTTTTTCTTATTTCAATGTCGATATGATGTATTCGTTTGTTCAATTTGAATGCTTGTGCAGTTCATCCCCAATGTGGAGATGAGATTGTTTGATCCACTTCGTAGGAGAATCAGATTGGATGGTTTGATCCACTTGAGAGGAGATTACATCATCTCGCTTATATTTTTATGGGAGGACGACAAGGCAATCTATTTTGCTATCTAACATCTGTGAGGCATTTGTTTTGCTATATACGACGGCTAAGCAGACATTTAGAATAGAATGAGGAACAATCAGGAGACTTTGAGTTATCCAAGAAATAGAGCAAGCCTTATTTATCTTGGCTGCGATAACAAGAAATTTGATAAAGAAACTGTGGGGAAAAAAAACCTTGAGGAGACTGAGGAGACATTGCTAAGACTGAGTGGGGATATAATAGTTGGTCCACCATTGGACTGAGTGGGGATAGAACAGTTGATCCACGATTGAAGGACGTCTATTTGGTCGATTGATTTGGTGCCACACCAGTAGAGTCCCACTGTTGGGCCCCTGTTGTATTAGTGCCAAAGGTAGTTGGTGGAGGGTTCCCAAGGGCACTTGTTGGAGCAAACCCTCTCATTATCGTATGGTTCCCGTTTGGTTGGATGTAACTCGCCGTGATATTTCCTTGAACCGGGATGCCTGAAGGATGGAGAAATGCGGGAGCAACATTCGGTTGTGCTTGGTTGGTGGCGTTCAAGTTTGGATTCATCAAGCCCTGGGCCATGTTTGACGAGATCATGCCCGGTTGAAAGAAAGAATGAGATTGGAACTCCATCCAAAGTTGCATCATCTCAAGTCGATGACATAACTCTTGATTCTCACTATTCTTCTGCGCTACTTCGCTTCTAGCCTTCTCAAGGTCGTCTTGCAAACGAAGCACTTGCATATTGATGCCCTTGCGGAGTTTTGTTGCCTCATCCTGCAATCGGTTAATCGTAGCCGTCGCCTCTTGAAGTCGGACCTCGTAAAATTGAGTCATGCTGCTTTCACGCTCACGAGCTTCACACGCTTCCGGATTGAAGTATGCAGCTAGCGAATCGTGAAGGCCACTTGCCTGCGAGCTCCTAGAGCGACAATTAGACGAGTCGATTGGCAATGTTCCAGTTGAGCCACTCAAGCAAGATTGGGTGCAATGCACAAGGGTATTGCAATCCCGATGTGAGCTGTTAGCCACATCTCTTGCACCCAAATCACCCACATTGGTACTTGGTGCTTGGGTTGCCATTCCGGTCCCACTCGGCGCCACCGAATCGCTCTCCTCAACGCTGGTATTGGCTGGATCAACAGGAAGCTCAGGGTGTGTCGCATCCCAGCCCAAGAGAAGCGTATCATCAGGTGAGAGGGGAATTGGGTTCCCAACTCCATTTCTAAAGAAAATCATATTAAGATCAATTTCTGTCAAGTAGGTTAGAAAACAAAGCAACATGAACTAACCTCTCATCGTCACTTTCAACTTCTTCATCACCATCTTCATCAACAAATGCGAGATTCTTTGCTCGATCCTTTATCAACAAGTTGACCCGCTTGGCCTCCCTAATCCACATCAGACAGTTCGGATTACCGGTTGGCTTTCTAGATGCTGCCATAGTTCAAAACTTGGTCTTCAATGGTTCGACATCGCGAACGGTTTGTCCATTTGCCATTGCGTATTGGGAGTACTTGAAATGTACATTGTCCCACTTGTTACTCCCAAGGGGGAGAACATCCTTTACGATAGCAACCAGTGCCGTGCAATCTGCCCCACTGTAACCTTGAGATCCAGGTTGGCGTCCACTGCGTTTTTGGTTTGCGGTACCGGTGGCATTGGTAGTCGTATGTTGGGTGGTTGATGGAGGTTGATCAAGTGTGAGTGGCTGGGTGGTTTGTTGATTGACTTGTGTTTGAGGACAAGGAGCTGGGCGAGATGGGAGATTCACTTCTGCAGGCATGATTTATAGCCTGTGGGGGATTGTGAGGGGTGTCGAGGGGTGGGTGTGTTGGGTGAGTGAGGATATGGGATGAGTCCGATGGGGTGGAATCTGATTGCAGTCTTGTGTACCCTCATGTAAATTTAGACCCCCAAAATTTGGACTTTTTTGGTCTAAATGAAAACTGGACGGCCCCCAGATTTGACGGGAAGTCCTCCAGTCTAGCGTCCTAGACAAGGTATACCCCAGAGAGCTAATCCGGGGTAGCTTAGTATGCTATAAGGTTCTAGGTTTTCTGGTTCTAGCTTTGTCGTTGTTGGTGAGGTTGAAAATTTTCCGAGAGAAGGAGTTGTTGACTATGTCAGGTGGAGGATCCACAAGGAAAGATGAAGAAACAAAACAAAAACAACAGGCCGATTACGCCCTACGCTGGGCTACCTGACAAGAAAGAAGGTCGGGTCGATTACGCTCTACACTGAGCTACCCTTGATAAGAAGATCTGATGATTTTGCGATAGCGATGATGCTTTAAGAGCTCATAACCTGATGAGAAACAGGACTCTGAGGGACAATAATGGATAAGATTACATGTACTTCAGACTACAAAGGACTATGTACATGCTCTGGAAGGTGGTCTAGGTGAGACCCTTCGGTAACCCCTCGCTGGGTTACAACAATGTTGACAGCCTACACCACGGGTGCGGTCCTGGAAATGGCGCTCCGTCGGCTTGACCCCGCGGTCGAGCACTGGTTGGCCATAACCATTTTTGCGCAATCCCGCCAAATCAGGCGGGCTGACGGCAGCTACAGGTAGAAGAACAGCAACACCGCCGTTGGCCTGGCCTCAAGGCCAAAAGCGTCGAGCCAACTGCTTCGTCAAGCAGCAGTTGGCTCGACGCTCCATGGAAGATCATGCGGCGGGTTTCGATCAACCTCAATCAGTAGCAACCACCCAAACAAACACCAGGAAGAATGACGTCGATCGCCGAGAATCACAGCCCTAGTATCACCTTCGCCGGCGATTCAGCCGATTTTCCCATTGTGATTGCCGATGATCCTGCCAAGAGCCCCACCCAAGCTATCAGCCCCGTGACCGCACAAAAGTCAGCCAACAAAACTGTCGAGAAAAAATCCCCAGAGAAAGGGCCCAAGGCCTCGGTATGTCATGATTCTAGGAGTATAACCCCCCTCCCTATTCCTTCTGACCGGAACTAACTGTTCATTCATTTCTTGTTATTCCAATCAGACTTCTGGGAATCAAGAGGTCCGACGTTCTCGCCGCATCTTCCGCCAGGATGAAGGACTCGGCCGTTTTATTATTCCCCCCGGATACTTGCTTTCCAATGAAATCAATATCAAGGACCACCACCGCTCTTAGATACAGACAATCTCATCGACTCAGACCACTATCAACAATTGTTACCAAAAAGTCAAGAAGTCGATCATCAACAACATCAAAAGTATCGTTGTAACATGATCGTTTTTTGTTTCCTTGTCCTTAAGTCGATCATCAACGACATCAAAAGTATCACTGTAACATAATTGTTTTTTGTTTCCTTGTCCTTTTCTTAAAACACAACCCCTAACCGCCACCAAGATATAAAAAAAATGATGACTAGTGAAAACATTTATTACTTTTAGGCTAATCTTGGATCAACTTGTTGTCCAGAGTTGTTTGGTGTAGCTCGTTTACGTTTTTTCGATTCTTTCTTTGTCGCACTCGTACACCAGTTTTTCACTCCATCATGCAGAGCGTTAATCCAATCCAGTGGCTGCAAAGCTGCGAAATTCAAACCCGAAATTTTCCTGTGAGAAACTTGAGCCGAAAGCGAGGCCGAGTTGATGACATAGTTGTCATCATCGTTATGTATCACTTCAGATCGTTTGACAGTACTACTCCTCCTCTCAATCATAACTTCTTCGGTTGGGGTGATGGTGCATCCGCCTCGGTCACAGTTGTGCTGGCAATTCAATCCAGACTCGATGCACTAAAAAAACACCATCATTGTCAACTTTGCAGGCAGTAAGGTGAAAAAATCTGGCTTACATTTGAGTTCACCAAACTGGTCTGCATAGTTTTTCTGATCTGTCGCATTCTGTAATAAGTGCTTTCCTCTGTAATTTGAAAGATAGTTACATCAATGAAAAATTGAACTTGAAGAGAATCTTTTTTGATTTTCCAGAGTGATTTCACACGTCCAATATGTTGGGTTCCATCAAATTTATTGTTAAACTAAAAAAAATCAATCAATGAAATTTCAATATTGTGAAATGAAGGAGAAAGAATGCAGATCAGGAAGAAAGGAGAAATACCAGAATAAAATAATGCTTCTTGAGGACTTGCTTGTCATTCAGATTCAACTCAGATATTTGCTTGATTTCTTCCCCGGGATGTGATGATTTCAAGTCTTGAGGAACCTCTAATTTATCAAGTTTTGCAACTGGGATTTTACGAATAGAAGGATAGTGGATATTCTTTGAGGATGAAATATTATTATACCCAAAGGTTTTCTGAATTAAGGGATTATATTTAAATATATTTGTAACTGGGTTGGAAGCTTGTACATATTTTTTTTGTTTTTTATCAAAAAAGAATCCACTAGAGAGAATTTGGCGGAAAGAGTTATAGTTGCTGAATGTAATGGCAATATCTTGGCCAGGGCTTTGGCGGTTGGAATGAATTGAAGCATTTCTAAGAATACCATTATAACTTTCAAATTTTTCTGTTGCAAAAAGGCAAGCTGGACCAAATCGGAGAATAGAATCTGGAAGATGAAGTAGCATGTGGAATTTTGGTTTATTAACCCATTGGCCAGAATCTTGAATAATTTGATTTAAGAATATATCAATAAGATTCTTCAAATCAGCAATATAAACTGACATGTCCTCAATATGTGTTTGGAAGATTAAAGAAGAAAGATGGCAGAGAGAAGACCAGATTTTGATACGGGAAGGCGTCATAAATTGGAAGAAAATGAAGGGAGCTGCTTGAAGGATGATTCTAAAGTCTTTACCAACTATGCTTGAACAATATTGTACCATACTAGTGGGCCTGATTGAAGGAATATTTAGAGAGTTGGTGTTGAAGGAATACCATAAAGCTGTGAGTTCTTTTCTTTGATCTTCATCTAATCCACTCATGAATTCTGTAAATAGGTACTTGACAATTCCAAGCAAGAAGACATGTAAAATTTCAACCGGGGTGTCCCTGACCATATCAAAACCTAAGGGAAATTATGCAGGAATTAGAATCAGAATGGAAATTTGAAAATAAAAGATATAAAAACACAAGCCTTTTAATTTCAGAAAAGGACTGAGAACCCGTGTTTTATCTTTTGATTCCAAATCAACCAAGTCTTGAGGAATAGGTTGATCCATGTCCGGCGGTATTTCCTTTCCATCTAAGAGCAATTCTTTCTTTTTCTCTCTGAATGAAATGATTTGTTTTGCAAACTTGCGGTTCGTTTGATCTCGAATTCCAAACTCAGCCGATTTTTCATTCAACTTTTCCAAATTCAGTGTGAGTGCGTTTTCTTTGACGTATCTCCAAACCTCTTCACTGTCTTTAATTGTTTTTTCTGTAGTTCTCAGATTATTGGGATGCTTTTTTATTAACAAAACAAGGAGACAATTAGAAAAAAAAACTGTAGTAGCTTTGAAAAAGAAGAAAGCAAAATACATTTGATCCATGTGTGTTTTTATTGACGAATCTTGAAATGTAACCGAGTGTATTCCTGTCTTTGATTGTTTTGGAACTGAGGACACAAAATCGACAGGGATTCAACGAAGGTCCAGGGACAGGAGTGTTGGTTATCTCAGCGTGCATCGGAGAGTCGGCCAAGAAGCATAACAGTGGAGCCATAACAAGAACATTTTGAGACAGAATCATGTCATATGCTTCAAATCCATCATTCACCATCTCACTGAATGAATAAAAGAATTGAAAATTCAGTAAATTGAACAACAATCATCTCTCATAAAAAGGATTAAATTAGGATTGAAAAAATAATAATTGTACTTTAACTGTTGGACCACAATCTCTCCAAGGTCCAGAGCTCCAGCAATGTTAGAAGTGCACAAGAAATGGCAGTTGAATTGTTGATTTGAGAGATTCGGAGGTAATCCAGAGAGTGTAAAGTAATAAGAGATGTGTTTGTTCCACTTCTTTGATTTATTTCCAGAAGTATCATCACAATACATGTTCACGGGTGAAAGATTTTGGAAACTAAAGGTATTTATTTCTTTATAAGTTATCTTTTCTTCTAATATATAATACAATCAAAATTAGTATAATGAAAAGACTTTTACCTAAAGGCAGAATAATATCTGAACTAGGTAAAAGAGAAAAGAAAATAATGATAAAAGAATAATATAACGCTGTAACTTCTGCGGATAAATGTGAGTTGATAGTCTAAATTCAAGAGACAGAAATTGATCAGTTAAGCGGTCTATTTTCTCTTGATCGATATAGACAGTAATAAAGAATATAACTGTACTTGTTGATTGAGCCAGTTATTTCTTTATTTTAATTTCAACTTGTTTTTATTTGTTTGTTGAATCTAATTATGAGTAATAAATGATCGAATGACATTTGTTAGTCTTATTATCTTATTCTCTTTCTTTTAAATTAAAAGAAAGGCTTTTTACACTCACCGATGGACGATGAGGATATTCGGTCGATAAGAGTGATTGATGCGTTGCGATTGTCAGAACTGAGAATGATTTTGTCAAGTTGATTGAATGATCGTTAGCGATCATTCCGTCTACTTGAATGTCAACATCAAGACTCACCTAGAGCTCGATGGTTGACGATCATCATCGTTTACATTCATGACGTCATTAACGTCATACTCTTTTTCACAAGCTTGTCGCTTGGCTAGAGATTCAGACTCTATGAATTCTATGCATGACCGAATATACATGATCAGCATGACAGATAATCTTCTCTAGGTAGCTTACAATCAACGTGTAAAGCTTACCTGCAACTCTCCTCTTTCGAGGGCTAATTTCATTGCTGAAATTCCAACAGTCATCCGTGCTTTGAGTCGTAAGATGCAAAGCAGAATCCAAGTCTCCATAGATTCCCAGTACCTTCAATGATCGTCGAATTGTACATCGACCAACTGATTTAGTTAGAAAATCAGCCGGATTTTCATTCGATTTAATGTAAAGAAGCGTTATTAATTTTGACTGAATATGTTCCCGAACAAAGTGAAGTCGTATGTCCATGTGCTTTGTTCGAAAACCATTTTGAGAAGTTTCACTATTCGCCAAATCAATAGCAGCTTTGTTATCGACATAAATCGGAATGTTGATCGGTGATTTCATAACGTTGACTTCATTGATTAAACTAGTAATCCAAACCATTTCACGACTAAGATCGGACAATGCTTTATACTCTGCTTCCGCTGAGGACAAAGAAATCGTATCTTGCTTGTTCGACTTCCAAGAAAGAAGATGACTTCCAGCCATAACGACGTATCCCGAAACTGATCGTCGTGTAACTAGACAATTGCCCCAATCCGCGTCAACGTATCCCTTCAGGCTAGATTCTTGCTGTTTCTTGTACGTTAAGCCGACTTTGCGCGTTCCTCCAATGTAACGAAAAACTTGCTCCGCTGCATTGTAATGTGTTAAACCCGGATGTTCTAGAAATTGTGATAAAGCGCTAACCGCATAAGATATATCAGGACGAGTCAAGATACTGAGATAATTGAGAGAGCCAACAATTGATCGATAGTTATAACCGAGTCGTTTGAGAGATTCTTGATCCTCTACTGTTGCCTTGTTCAACTGAATTCTTGGGTTTAAAGGACAAGATGCTGGATGAGCATCTTGAAGATCGAACTGAGTCAATTTTCTTTCAATATACTGTTGTTGATTGATTTTAATTGATCCATTAGATCGAATAATGTTCATTCCTAGAAGAAATTCAGCATCTCCCAAGTACTTGACTGCGAACTCTTTCTCAATTTCCTCTTTGAAAATTATCGGATTGCGACTTATGATTACCAAATCGTCCACGTGAGCATAGATCCATGTCATCGGTTTTCCAGGTTGATTTTCTCGCCAAAATACACATGGATCTGATACACAGATGTTGAATCCAATCGTCTTTAGAAAGTTTGATAGACGTTTGTACCACACGAGCGGTGCTTGACGTAACCCATAAACTGCCTTCTTCAATTCAAAAACAGTATCCTCTGGGCCTTCGTACCCTGGTGGTGGCGTGACCGTGACTTTGTCTTCCAGAGGGCACGTCAAGAAAGCACTTCTCACATCGAGTTGATGAATTTTCATATCGTTGTTAACGGCGAAGGAAATAAGGAGTCGAAGCGAGCAAGGTTTTCCTGTTGGCGCGTATTTCGCAAAGAAATCAAGACCAAAGGTTTGCCGAAATCCTTGTACGCAGATTCTCGCTTTGAACTCTGTAACCTCATTGTTCGCTCCTAGCTTTTTCCGAAAGGCCCAGGTTAACGGTATTGGTGTGTCGTCATTTCTTCTCTTTCGCACTAGCCAAGCCTTATGCTGGTCCATATTCTCGTATTCTTTCTTCTCAGCTTTCTTCCATTCATCGATTTCCTTTCCTTTCATCGCCTGCGTGTGCGTTTTTGGTGCCGTAGACAATAATGCAGTGCGTCTAGAATATGTTAAGATATTGGATTCATCAATGTTGCTGTTAATAATTTTGTCGTCATTGCCGTTTTGCGCTTGTTTTTCATTGATGATCTCTTCTTGAAGCAGTTCTTCTGGATGGTCTTCTTCGGAATGCTCTTCAACGGGTAACTGACTTTCGTCGAAAGGCAAAGAAGAGGAGTCCTGAAATACCGGCAGATTGTTCGAAAGCTTTAAATTATCCAGACTTTTGTTCAACGCCGGACAGAATGGAAAAACATTCTCTTCAAAGTAGGCGTGTTTGATGTTGATTATTTGATGATTATCAAGCCTAACCACCTTATACGTCGAATAATCGTTAGAATATCCGATCAAAACACCTTCCCATGATAAAGAGTCAAATTTTCTTTCATGATAAACCTCCGGTTTCAATGACCAAACTTTGCAGCCAAAAGGTCGGAAGATATTAATGTTCGGCCTTTTCTTGAATAAAAGCTCGATTGGTGAGGTGCGGCTTTTTGACAACGACGGCAAGCAATTAGTAATTGCACAAGCAGTTTTCACTGCTTCCGCCCACCATTCAGGTGCTAAATTCGATTGCATCAGAATACACCGAGTCATGTCAAGAATTGTACGGTTTGCACGCTCTGCAAAACCGTTTTGCTGTGGAGTGTATGGTGGTGAAACATTATGTTGAACTCCACTCGCTTCGAGTATACCCGACAGTTTCTTGTTGCAGAACTCGCCACCGCCGTCCGTGATCAATTTCTTCAACCGATTGCCAGTTTGATTCTCATAGAAAATTTTAAATTTTTCGATCGCATCGGGCGCTTCACTTTTTTCTTTAAGAATCGTAATGTTGATAAATCCAGTGAATTGATCGACAAGCGTCAAGAAGTATCTTGCTCCACCATTCGATGATGGAGTGATCGGTCCGACTAAATCACCGTGAATGACTTCAAGAGCAGCTGAAGTTGGATCAAAGTGATGCTTGAAACTTTGCCGAGTCATTTTTCCTTTCATACACGAATCGCAGCACTTTTCTTTAACTAGTTTTTCGCTCGAAGGAACCACGACTTTCAGTCGATTTGTACTTGCATGGCCAAGACGATTATGCCATTTTGTGAAGCCAGAAGTTTCAACTGAGTCTGTAAGCATTGCAACCGTTTGATGATGCGGAGGAAAAATATCGCCTTCAATTTCAAAAAGTTGATTCGATAAATTCACATTAAACAATTTTTCTTGACTGTTCGAAATGACTTCATAAACTTGACCAGCTCGTTGAATTAAGATTTTTTCATCGATTAATTGAGCGAGAGAGATGAGATTACGTGTCAAATTAGGAACAAAAAGAGAGTCGTGTAGAGTAATAACTTTATCGTCGGCCATTTGAATCATTGCTGTTCCTCGTCTAACAGCAACAAGTTCTTCTCTCGATTTTCCATCGCCAGTAACTATGAAGATGTGAGTCGGTTCACTTTTTACGAAAAATTCAAGAGAATTGAACATGTGATTACTAGCTCCGGAGTCAAGAATCGTTATTAGTTTTGACTGAGATGCAGCTGACTGAAGAATAGTACTACAGTATCCAAATGATGGAACAGCGTTTTCATTGTTTGCATTACTGCTTGAAGATTGTTGATTCGACTGAGTTGAAGTAGTTGTCTGAGTTATGGTGGCTTTTGCTGGTGGATAAGCTCGAAAACGTTTTGGTCGTTTGGTTGGATTATCGTACCAACAATTCCTTTGACTATGCGTCGTATTTGGATCATGACCATTTTGACAAGGATGTTCGTAGTCTTGCGAAGGAGGCGGAGGAGGAGGACGTTTTCCTTTTCCTTTGAAGTTAGTCGAAAGTGCTGAAGTTGAACTACTAGGTTGTGTAGGCCTTTCTTCGCGCTTCGTATAAGTTTGCTCATGAATTGCAAGAGTACGCAGCTTCTCCAAAAGTCGATAAGGATCGGAGACGAGAGCTTCATCCAACATCAAATTCTCCATAAGGTCTTGTTTTACTGTAGTAACTCGACTGATAATGCATACAGCAAAGAGATCCTGCGTGACGTCATAGCCGATAGTCTTGAATTCTCCTAAGCAATCTAGACATCGATCAACATAGGAAATGATACCTCGATCACAGTGAATTGTGTCCCATAAACGCCAGACTTTACAGAGAGAAAAGATTGATTTCGATGCGTATTTCGTTTTAAGAGTTGACCAGACAGAAAAAGGGGTTAAATTCGACGATAATTTGAATATGGAATTATAAATCGAGTCGTCGACTACTGAACTAAGGTGAAACATTGCACAAGAATGCTTTGCTTTTGTTTCGTCACTGATCGGTAAAGGTTGCTCGTGGAGACAGACATCGATAAGCTGACGAGAATCGAGGAAATAATGCATCTTAGATCCCCAAATGAATAGTTTCGCCTGTCAGTTTGGGAACGGCGCTGATGCCTTTATCGTCCATGGCATCCTTTCGCGAGAAGGTATCCATCTTCAGATTTTATCCTGCCTTAAAGAAGTATCCAAAAATCGTAGGAATCGAGATCGATGATGAGAATCGTCGAGACTGTAAATCTGAAAGATTTTGGAAACTAAAGGTATTTATTTCTTTATAAGTTATCTTTTCTTCTAATATATAATACAATCAAAATTAGTATAATGAAAAGACTTTTACCTAAAGGCAGAATAATATCTGAACTAGGTAAAAGAGAAAAGAAAATAATGATAAAAGAATAATATAACGCTGTAACTTCTGCGGATAAATGTGAGTTGATAGTCTAAATTCAAGAGACAGAAATTGATCAGTTAAGCGGTCTATTTTCTCTTGATCGATATAGACAGTAATAAAGAATATAACTGTACTTGTTGATTGAGCCAGTTATTTCTTTATTTTAATTTCAACTTGTTTTTATTTGTTTGTTGAATCTAATTATGAGTAATAAATGATCGAATGACATTTGTTAGTCTTATTATCTTATTCTCTTTCTTTTAAATTAAAAGAAAGGCTTTTTACACTCACCGATGGACGATGAGGATATTCGGTCGATAAGAGTGATTGATGCGTTGCGATTGTCAGAACTGAGAATGATTTTGTCAAGTTGATTGAATGATCGTTAGCGATCATTCCGTCTACTTGAATGTCAACATCAAGACTCACCTAGAGCTCGATGGTTGACGATCATCATCGTTTACATTCATGACGTCATTAACGTCATACTCTTTTTCACAAGCTTGTCGCTTGGCTAGAGATTCAGACTCTATGAATTCTATGCATGACCGAATATACATGATCAGCATGACAGATAATCTTCTCTAGGTAGCTTACAATCAACGTGTAAAGCTTACCTGCAACTCTCCTCTTTCGAGGGCTAATTTCATTGCTGAAATTCCAACAACGGGTACGTGTCGAATTATCCTCCCGTTGGCTTTCTCCCTCCAAGGATTTGGTAGCTTGATTGTGCCTTCACTGTTTTGCTCTTTACAAAAGTCAACACACATATGATTGAGCTATCTCTTCTTTTTTGATTAATACAAAGCATATTTCTTACCATAAAGCAAGTTCCCACAGTATTCCAATAGTTTTAGACCATCACTTGAAATGATTTCAGAATAGAGAAGATCAAAATCGTCCAAGTTAATTTCTTGTAAATCAGGATCATCATATAAGATATCACTGGCAATAGCTATCTTCACCGTAGAGTCGTGCCGGTTTGATGTAATTTGTGGTTTGTAGCATTTTGCAAAGGTGTTAGATTGAAGTGTGTAGAAAAATATCGGAATAATGATATCGTCATTCTTGAGTTGGACCGGCTCATAAGTATAGTAGTGTTTCTTGTTATAAGCCACCATTTGTACACGTATATCTGGTGCAAGATGTTTGAGCCACTTTGCTGACTGTGAAGTCTTGAATATGCCTTTTCCATGTGCATCTTCCGGCAGGAAATCCAAGTGGGGGGCGACCAAGGGATTCCTTAAATCCTGCCAAAAAAAAATTGATGTTGGGAATTAACAAACACTTTCTCTCAAGTTCACAAATTAGGGAAGTGCTGACATCTGAAATTATCTCTCTAGCATCCAGCGCAAACATTGGCTGGCCAAATAGGGATTCCTTTTCGACCAGAGAGTGGTGACTCATGAGACGTATCTTCTGACGTGTCCTCCTTAATGTCTCCCATCCTGGCAGATGGATATGGTGCAATGTGAGTATGCTTTGAATTTGATGATATAGATCTCGAGAGATGATCTTGTGCAAGTATCCCACAAATAAGGATCCAATAAGATACTAGAAAAGGATTAAGAATCAGTTTGAATTATTGGACTGATGAATTTTCTTTGCTGAAGGATATCATTGACACACGTCCTTGTTTACAAATGGGAACCACGCAGAGTCAACTGTCATAATCTCCTCAATTTCGGCCAGGTCACGTTGGAAAGCAGGTACTAGAAGTCCATCAAAGGAGTCGGCCGGTTCATCATCAATCTGATCAATTGCAACACCGAGTAAGTTCAACCAGTCCAGCTCTTCCTCCTCATGTTCACTCTCGCCATCTTCAAACAAACTGATTGGAACCACATCGCTTTCATCATCGGTTTCATTCACTAGAGGTTCAACTTGCTCATCGGAACAAACGGGGTCGTCGCATATAGGTTCTATATCGATCCGTGGCCGGTTTGACTCTTGTTGGTTTAAAGTCTCATTCACATTGATCCTCTCTTGTTGTCTCTCAATACGCTCTTCATCCAATCGCACAAGGTTTAGATGTCGTTGGCCGCGTGCATGCTTCTTTTGGTTGCTGGTGCTCTTTCCACGACAGAGGATACAACTGAATTGGTTCGATCCCTCCTGAAAAAAGTCTATCGAAAAAAGTGTGTCAGTCTGGTGAAATTTTTCATCTCTTTCCACATCAATTTGATTTCCTCTCACATTTATCCGGCGGCATTTTTTCGACTTATTGTTTTTTTTCTCTTGATCGGGATGGCTTGATTGGATTGTAAGTCTTTGGTTGTGATGTTTGAATTGAATTTTGATTGTTGACCGTTGACCGTTGACCTTTACCAAATTGTGGTTATAACTGTTTCTGACATCAATCTTGAACACTTGATATTTAAGACCGCTTCATCATCGATTTTGTATCTCGATCTTGTTCACGAACAAACCACAGCTTCTGATAGCACCATCATCGAACAGCCCTTTTCCCTTCATTCTCAATCTCACTATGGACTTCAACGATCCAGTTTTTGGAGGTGATGGTGATCCGACTGCTTCTTATTGTCCAGATGAAGAAGACGAATCCCCTCCCCACTCGACTCCTCTTCCCTCCTCTCCTCAACACTTGCCAGAATCCCAAAGATCATCGAAGCGTGCGAGGCAAGCATCCCTGGAGTCAGGCAACAAAGATGACATCATGTGTGATACCAATACTCAACTCAACTTTTCTCGTTTGCCACCATCGACCCATATGGATGAAGTCTGCTCTGCACTTAAAGCCCTTCATCATCTTGATGATGAGCATGATAAGATTGCTCACAAAGCGAGCACCGTAAGTCATTCCAATCTTTCTCATCAATCGTTTTTCTCTCCAAATTGTTAACATCTACTTTTTCTCCAGTGTCCCACACCCGAGAGGCATGCAAATGTCATGTATGCTCTTCTTGCGGCCCAACAACATCAGACCTCAGTTGAAGCATCTGTCCCATACGGTGACACATTCAAGGTGAGGTTAATCTCATTACATCTTCTCACATCTCCATTCCGATTCATTTTGACCTCCATCAATCTCGCCAACAAGACTTTTGTGAGGACAAACGCCCGAATGTCGTTCCTCATTCCGACTCTTGAGGCTTACTCAAACAATCCGAATAAAAGTGGGGCACTCCCCAAGAGTCTGTACTACCTTTCGTTGGTACGATTTCCAATTTCTTACCTGATTCCCTTTCCTGGTGACTTATTGCTTTTCTTTGACCAGGATGCTATTCACAAACAGCCTGACGAGTGGAGAGAAGACAACCTTCCTCCAAAACAACTCAAAGGGGAATCGCCAGCGTTAAAACTGTATGCTCAAGTCATTGGTGAGTTGTTAAAACACCAACGAAGTCACCTTCGTGTACTGGTGAGTCTTTGTCACCTCCTACATAGTTCATCTTAATGAATCAAATGTAATTGAATTTAACATTTGGGATGCTTAGATCCTGAACAACATCCTCGAGACCAAAAGGATCGAGATTACAGGTCCCGTCCCAAATCGACATGCGTTGGCCACAATGGTGAGGGTCTTTCCCGACTACCTCTGGCTTCTGAAATGAAAGCTAACTCTGGTTTTGTTGTGTGTTTCGCATGCCTGCTTTCCAGATCTATTCTGACCTCCCTCCGGAAAACCGAAAGTGGACTGAAGAACAGATCAGGACCCGAGTTGAATCCAACTGGCTCATGCGAATTCGTGTGGCCTATCTTCGACTTGTTCTTGTCTACTACTACACTCACCCATCATCAAAGGGTACACAATGGGGTGCAATTGACGACCGACTTGCAATCCTCCGGAATTCAACCTCTGAGTTTCAAACCATGTAAGTTGTATTCTCTCTTTTTCCGATAAGTGAGTTGTCCTGACTTGTATTTTTAATCAAGGCATGCAACCCTTGTCTTGAAAAAGGATAAGGAATTATTTTCGCATTCAAAGCACTACAAAAAGATACCAACGGAACAATTCACTGTTCCTTCGGTCGATGATGTCAACATCGCCCTTTCTCAAAAAGAAAGCACTCAAGAATTTCGAGCTTCCCAAGCACCCGACCTAACCCTTACTTGACTTGTTTTCTCATTTCCGGCCTCGGTTTCACCGTTTTTATTTGTTTCTCTTTGTTTTCTATGTATCGCTCATTTCTCTATGTTAAAAAAACCTAATCGCTGTCAGATTAGCGAGTGTGCTCAAGCAATACAAGTACATAATTCCGAGCCTGCATCCTTGTGCTAGCCTCGATTCTGAGCGGCCGACAGTGAGTGTACTGCCAGCCGCGGGGACCTGATTCTCGGACGAGCTACGGTTGACAGCTGACTGTACGGCATCGTCAGCGGCTGCCGTCAAGCCAACACTGGCTGTTCCTGTAAAGCCAGCTGTGAATCCTACGTCACAGTTGACCGCAAGCACTCGCCAGCTGCATCGGCAGGCCAACATCGAACGTCAACCCCATGCCGACGTACTGCAGTCAATTAGAAGGCCGCCGCAAACCAGCCCTGCAACCGCGGGCAAGCCAACGTTGCAGGGTCAAGCCGACCGCGGGGATTTACGCCCCCCGCTATGAAGCACCCCCAATTTTTCGTCGGGGCGGTACGGGTCAAGCCTACGGAATTCTTTCCGTCAAGCATCCGTCGACCAGAGCCTGTGGTGTATCACAAATGGCCGTCGCAGGTACACACAGGGCTCGAAGACCGGCGGATCAATCGGATATAAGTAGGACCTGGCAGAACACCACATCGATGACGACGGTGTCGATGAATCCAGTTTTGGCTCAACTCGACACGCTGGAGACGAAAGTGAACCATCCGATCGATCGACAGGCTTGGGCGATCGCGATACGAACGACCAACGATTCGAAACAGTTTTAACGCGTGACGGGATTTGTTATAACCAACCTGAGAAAAAAAAACTGAGGAAATCAACCAGCTGACACCATGGCGTCCAATCGATGCGTTACTTGCGCTATCCCAGTCAAGTACCTGTTCACTGAGTACGGACAAGATAACTTCGTCTTGGAGATATGCGTGAGTACATAGTCCGATCGGCTTCTGGTATACACTTGCTGTCTGCTTTGTTGAGTTATGGATTGAGCCTGATGCCTTGTCTACATACACGACTTCTTCTACCCTTTTTCTTTTTGTCTACCCTTTTAATTCTTTTTGATTTTCATCTGTTTGTGTCAAAAAAAAAAATGACGACCCGGGATGGAAATGCCGGATCGATCGGCCAGCCAAATTGCAAAAGATTCACGGATCCATACATCGAACAATCTTCAATCATCTTGATCTTGGATTTGTTTCTACTGAAGCCGCAAGTCTACTACCATCTCCTGTTCAACTCGAAGCATTCGTTCCAATCATTCAATTCGCAGCTTCCTCCATCAACTCCTACGTTATCTCATCTCGCCTCCGATCAACCAAGATCTTCTAATCAAGTCGATCACCAGAATCGAAAAGCCTGCAAGCGGGTTCATTTGCAATTGTCTGGCCTTATTTATTGTTTGATTCTGGTTTTGGAATCGAGTTGAGTCATCAATATGACTTTCTATTTTGGCTTGCTTTCTACTCCTGACTGATCCGATTTTATGATTTTTTTCATTTTATTTTTTAAATCAACACTTCTTTGAAAGGTTTCCAAGCGTTGGACGAAGCGCAATCTGTCGAGTTATTTCTTGATTCAAATCCGGTCAAGCAGATAATGATGAAACTCCTTGGTATGTACATTTGACTGCATCTTTCCATCTTTCTTAGAATTTGCAATGAACTGATGGTTGTCCGGGGGTTATGTCTGTTTTTTTTTTTTTAAAAAAAAAGGTCTGCTGTTCCACATCTTTAATTTAGTTTTTACTGCGACAATAATCTCGAGAGTTGTCAGTTATGGAGGAAGTTACCAGGGCCTAGATCCGATCAAACAGGGTATCCTAAACTCTATCCAAGGAATTATCATCTCCCTTTCTCCGGGGATAGTGTTATATTCGACGATCATGATTTTCCAAAACTCCTATGGAACTCGACCTCCTCCGCCGTTATTTTCTCCGACCGAGAACGTCTATTCATCCCACGTTCTTCACTTCCTCAGAGCCCATCTGGGATACGACGTTTCCGGGATGCTTGATGGTCTTGTGGGGATCGATATGGACCAACTTGGCTCAACCAAACTGAAACGGCTCTTGATCCGAAACTTGATGGGAAGTCTCAGCTGCTCCGTAGGGATCGCTGCCTCCTTTGCTCAATCTTGGACGTTCGGATTCCTCGTCTTGTGCTTCTGCTCGATTCTGAAGAGACTACTTGCACATCTGCTCCACCAACTCGATCTTTTGAGTCCTTCTTAAATCGTGGCTTTTCTGATTTCGGACAATAATGATGACGACCATTTGCAATATCTGATTTTTGGTCCTTCGCCGATCCACACTTCGAAGATCGCCCAAGGTAAGCGCTCCAGGCCCAGCATCGAAACAATGTTCAAGACAGAAACAAACCAGTCCATGAATCCCTACTACATCCGGCCATTCTGTGAGACCTTCACCCTTATTTCAAGTTGATCTTGTGATTGCGACTGATAATATTTCCAGGATCTGCATCATTGTTTCGAGATTTAATCAGCTGAGAATGAGGGACCCAACCGGTTGCCGCAAACACGGGAGGAACGATGATAGCTTTGAAGATTCTCTGTTAGATAGTACCTTGGCGGGGATAAGGATCAACTGATTAATCGGTTTCCTGTACCACTTTGAAATCCTTGACAAACATCAACATGAGAAATCGTTGTAAATTGCAATAACTGAAATGACATCTGAGGCCCAACCAATCATAGAGTCCTCAAGGAGTTTTAACCCACTTTCTTGGTGGTGAATTTGAAAAGTCAACAGAATTTGTGCACTTGCAGTACCAGCAGGATTGTCAAGTAGCTGCCAAGAAAGAGAAGAACGATCCCTACACTAAACTGAATGGTATCAATAAGCAGTACAAACAACTAGCTGACTTATAGAGGATGCAAGGCTGGAAGAATTCGATAATTAATTGATACTACTTGATGATGATTGTAATGAAAAAAAAAAAAAAAACGAATGTGTTACTTAGATACAAAAGGTCAAGATTGAATAATGTATACAGCATATGTCTTTTCAAATACTTCCATCTCGACTCTAAAGTTGCGAGCAGCCAAATGGACTTGATCGATTAATAAGGAGAACCAATCGTTGAAGATCTTTTCCAATTCTGGCAGAGGAGTAGTGACTAGTTGTGAGTGATGGGAAGGCGAATAAGGGAGTAGACGAGGACGTAGGACGTCCATACAGCGATCAAAACTAATCAGAGCCCTCTCCAACTCATCTCGAACCTCGTCGAACGTAGCACGGCCATTCTGAGCACAAAATTCCAACAAGATCCTGATCAGACTCAACAAGTCGGTGAAGAAATAGTCGGTTTGATTGCGCAAGGATTTGAATTCAGTCGAACTCATTCGGTCATCGATCGTGAAGGGTGCTCTGCTCGATGGCACAAGCAAAAGTCTGTTCAATAATAGTCTGCCCAGTTTGACGAGCGGCATGACAGATTGGGCAAGCTTGACGAGATACGGCTCTATGCAGATTTCTTCTCCCGGCGCTTCGTGTGTAAGGATTTCAGGCTCATGATCGACGATAGGGGTGGCGCTTGGAAGGACATCGTCAGATGGTTCATGTTGTTGATCGACGACAGAGCTGGCACTTGGAAGGATATTTGCAGAGTGTTGTTGATGGTCATGATCAGCGTCGCCGGAAGGGTGGATCTCAGCTCGATGGTATGTATGACCTTCATCAGACCGCTCAGATCGATCGTCCCCTGTTGAATAATCACGAAGCTCTTCGAGTGATTGAGCGAAGACCGAATCGATTTGCACGGTTAAGAATTCGATGTGCTCTTCGAGGCTACATGATTTGGTTTTCCAAGCGGCTTGGAGAATTGAGAGCTCGGATGCATGGAACGAATGGATGATGATCTGGAGGAAATCCAAGACTTCAGCGCTATCCCTCAATAGTGATTGCCGGATGCGTGTCTTTTGTCTTCTTTCAGAATCCTTCCATCCTTCCAGAAGAGCCAGGTGATCGTAAAGAACTACTGTCAAGGAGTAACGTAGCGTATAGTTAATTTTGACCATGATCGCGTCGAGCTTGTGCCTTTTCAGACCTGCGTAATGATGATCTTGGTCTTCGGGTACTTGAGCTGCCTGACGGATGCTAACGGAGGAAGATTTGATTCGCTTGACGGTATCTTTGAGTTGGGATAATATTTCGAGGGTGGCTTGCAGGTTTGGCCGTGGTCCTTCGCCTGAATAGTAGGCATCTTGCGATTTCAGCAGATCGGCCAGGTGTTGGTGCAAGGAGGGCAGTAAGCTCGTTCGCATTTCATTCAGGAGAGCTTGTAGGGCATTGATTTGATCGATCGATGGAGCTGCCTGGTCGGGGCTGGCGGTTTGGTTATTCGTGATTATCATCTCATCGCAATAGTCGGACAAGCTTCTCAACCTCGTGCAAACTGGTTAGAATCAAAGCAGTTTGCTGTTAGTAAAAATGTAGTCAGGATTGCTATCGTGCTGATATCGAAACTCTGTTCCTTATGAAGAGTTATATTTATAGTTTAACCACTTTAAGTCTGGGGTTTGCCCAAAGCTTTCATATTCTCAGCTCGTGCAAAGGAGCCAGTCGTCCCCTGCGATGGGGTAGCCGCGAAAATCGCCGGTATGTACTATGTAGCTCTATGGGGTGCGTTGCAATTCCGGGTTCTTCAACCAGCGGCTTTGGCTGATGAGAAGCTGAACTCGAATATTCGTTAGCAATACTCCAAGACCATCATCAAGATATAACTGGAAGATGGTGGCTCCGGGTGGTTAGTGGCCCGAGCCTAACAACAGGCCTCGGGCGTGAGAGCCCGGAGGGCAGCCCGCAAGGGTCTCTGTCGCCCGGGAGAGAAGGGAACAGGGGGCTTCCGCGTGGGGTTAAGTTCGTTATAAACGGCCCGGTGCTTGATCGGCCCCTCCGATGGGGCAAGGGAGAGGGCCGCCGGGGGCTTTCCCCGGCTTGAGTTCGGAGCTTTCAGCAAGCTGCTCCGGTTGTTCAGAATCCGAAATCGGAGTAATTTGGACGGCACTACTCCAAGACCGTCATTTATGACTGAGTATTCTGATCAAGTGCAGGCTACTCCGGTTCAGAATCTCTGAACTCGGGATGTCGTTAGCAGTACGGCTCCAAAAACCATTTACTGAAGCACAGTGACTTCGGCGATGGTTTTAATATGTAACCTTGAGTCTGGTAATCCAACAGCTGTTAAGGTCACACACCAAATATAGAAGGAAGATTCAAGAAGAAAATTGTTTCCGAAAACAAACTCGGATCTCAACGCAGGGTGAGAGATTTTTGGTCAAGATACGAGAATACTGGATATGATGGGTTGCACTTTTTACATACCGATTGATTCGAGTGAGTTTGGTGTGGTTTCTGAATCCGACATGGTTGATGTTATTTCTTTGAGAATGTGTTTGTATAATGTAACTCAGTCCTGAGTGTCTGTTACCTTTGTAAGTTGGGGATGGAACTTTCAAGATGTTGGTCGAAGTGATGAAAGAAGGTCGAGATCAAGAACTTTGCAAATTGATCGGCTATTTATGGAGGAAGACTCTGGAAGACTCTAAGCCCTCTCCAGACTTCCGGGGCATTCTCGAACTTAATTACTCCTGCGGCGCAATCCCGATGTCTGGTGGGGTTGGAATTAAATAAGTTGGGGCAACACCCAATACATACAAGGCCATCGGGCATTGAGGCCCGCTTGGTATGTACTTGGCCACCACCGAGGCTTGGGCCTGTGCCAAGAGGTCTTTGGCAGGGGAGTTGGCAGCTTGGCACTTACCCAAGCCAGTGGACTTGAGCCTCATTGCGACCGCTACCACTGTCAACCCTCATCAGCACCACTCAACACCCCACAAAGCCTCACAAAGTATCTCAATAACAATCAAGCTTTTGTTTGGTTTTTACTTCTTTGTCTTCTTTCCTCTATATGTTTTTTTTTTCCCTTTTCCCCGGCCTTTTTCTTGCTTTCTTTTTTTGACAGGGAATTGGTATGTGATTGAACCGAGTTGCTTCCAGGTACACATCATTCTCTGTGGGCCCCCAAGGAACTGATGAAAATCCATGACAAATTCACCACAGCTATAACTAGATACATGGAATTGTAGAAAAATCTATAACAGATGTAAGTTAGTTGACTTTTGAAGCTCGGGGCAGTGCTTATGAAGTTTCCTGGGGCTTGCTGTAACTGGTGCCCAGGGAAATACAAGTCACAAACTTTAGTCACATTGAGAAGATATGAAAGATAAGCAATGGATAACAATAAGGTGCTGGAGTACATAATTGCTATCTACAGAGCTTGTCCGGATCAAGAGGTATTCATTCAAATGAATCCTCTTCAATTTGTATGGTAGATTGACTTGATAGTAGTTAAATAGCCACCCAAGTCTTGGATTATGAAGAAAATTCAACAGTTTCCTCCTCCATTTTTAATTTGGTAGAAAATCCAATTCAGCTTATAATAGCCAATTGATTTCAAATAGACATAAAATTCAGGAATAAACATTTTCAGCTAAAAGCACCGGCATGGCTTTATGGTGGATATTGCCCAAACCACACAAGTGCAATGGGATAAGCGGATTTTGAGACTCACCTGCTACAAATGCAAGTGAGTTGAATTGGAGATCTGGAAAGAAGGTTTGATGAGTGGAAAGGAAATTTGGAAATATTTGCAGACTGTGACCCCCAAGTATAAGGAAAGCTCTTATGGTGTATCAAGTCCATCTGGCTGCACAGTGCACACTCAAGTTGGGCCTTAAAAGGCCAAGTGCACTGGGTGAACCCTAAAAGTGCACTTGCCTAATCCTTGTGTGGCAGACTTCCAACCCCTACTGGGCACATCCTAGAGTTGGTGTAGAGGGCCAACATATGCCTCGTGGGCCCCAAAGTAGGACTTATTTAATTTTGGTCCAGTTCATGTGTTCTAATACTTTATGCATGCAAATATGACCAAAAAAGAGGAGACTTTGTTGAGCTCTGAAAACAGAAATTTGCAAAGCGGTTTCAGGAAAGCTGAAAGGATTGAAGTACAGGCAGTTTATTTTTTATCATTGATACATCCGTATTTAGCTATAAGAATAAACTGAAGCCACAAATAAAACTTTGTCAAAAATGAAGCACTCAAGTTGATCCAAGAGTGGAGATGATTTTTTGTGGTTGACAGTCCCATCCAGAAAAGTTTGGATTGTCTTTGTTGTGCAGGCCCGTCATGCTAATCCATCCAGAGAAGTACATGTATCCACTTTTTGTATCCTTAAAGATAAAACCCTGTCTATCATGTGTCCCCCTTGAATCAAGGTCTTACCGTCAGGTAATGAGTTGGAAACCAATCCGGGACAGACCATTTTTCACTCATCAACTCTGAGAAGATCATCGAAGCTACCACTTCAGCACTGAAACAATTTTCAAAAAGGAGGTCAATCGATATGAACCATTACCCACTATGTAGTTTTCCAATCAGTCAGATTGTGGGAAACAAAGCTTCGAGTGACTCTTACCATCCTGGTGCCCGACTCATGCCGTGTCCAGAATAGCCAGCCGCGATGAATTGGCCCTCAACTTGACTTCCATTTTTGACTAGGTGGCCGACAATCGGATCGTGGTCTGTCGAAAAATCGGGTAATCTGCCTTCAGTTACCCACCAATTGAGTTTTTTTTTTAAAAAAAATCAGAAATGCGTCCTCTTCATCAGACACCACCCTACCTTTTGTAAAGCCCATGATTCCAGGCCATTCATGGACCACATCACCGTTATCTAGATCACCATAGTAACTGGGGAACCATTGAGGCAAAAATGACCGCAGGTACGTTCCCACTTGGCCATTCAAACGCGAATCATCGCCAATCCCGACTTCGAATTGTGGTGGGGCATGGTTTCTTCCCCCACCTAGAATCACTACAGGGTTTCGAGGATCGGCGGACCGTTTGTCTGAAGGACGAAATGGTCGTTGGAAAAGGTAATCATAACCCTCGTTGGCGCTAAATCCGCTCGTCCAGACTTGCGATCGGTTCGATGATTTTGGTTGGACGGCTATTACTTGGGCGCGGGTAGGAACAATGATCTGTTGGTGATGAGCTCTCAACTGGGGGAGAAGGTAACTGGCGTAGGCGTTGGTTGCATGGACAACATATTTTCTAATGCAGCATTTCAGATCAGAAACTCCGTCAACTTCAAACAATTTGGAAATCGATGCAGAGAAGAAGATGAATACGATTCAAATTTTCCCCTTGAGGTGTCAACCATCCAGTTAGGTTTCCCGAAAGCTGAACGCTCAATCTTCCGAACCGCTGTGTGGGTGAATAGTTCGATGTTGAGCCCATCAATCAACGAGGCTTTCGATTGAATCAGGTTATAGATTTTTGTCATTAACTTTGATGGAAAGAGCTAAACGTAAGCAGATTATTGCAATCAGAGAAAAGTCGCGTAAAGGTTGCCACGTCTGATTGAGGAATTGAATTTTACCGACGTTATTTCCAGGGATCTTTAGTGCCCCAACCGACGAACTCCGCAAACCATAAGCCTGTAATATCCGACGTCCATGCACCCAGAGAAGAGCGCGATTCAATGCTTGGAATATCATGGCTGAGAGTGAAACACTATGTATCTCACTTGAACCGCAGCTTGTTTGTCCAGCCAATGTATACCGGACAAATCGAGACCGAGTGAGTTAGCAAATTGGAGTTGATCCATCTGTTGGGCCTGTTCTTTGTGATCATTGTATATATGAACATTCCCGCCTTCGACCAAATCAACATCATCCTTCCAATCGTGAGAGTGGATCAGATCCAATAAATCCTTGACTGATTTGAGCTCTAGTTTGACGGCTCTGATTGCCTCTGCAGCCGAGAATTTCTCTGCTCTCGTCTTGGTACCCAAGATTGCTGAGGCGGTCAGGTGTCCCCCGTTCCGTCCTGTTGAGTTCAAGCCGAGGTTCTCTGAGTGAGTTCCAAATCGGATAAAAGATCACCTTAAGTGGGAGTCTTACCAGTAGCACCACTACAGAACTCTCTGGCCTCGACCAAGACGATGTTAATTGGATTCTCCTTGAGCTTAAGACGATTGCGAGCCTGATCAGTGGCTAAAGAGTTGACCAAGTTAAGCGCACAACTGATGCCGGTGATGCCGGTGCCGATGATGGTAGTAGTCTTGGTATTCTGTGCTGATCGATCAGGTAGTCGTCCGTACTGGCCATGTGATGCGAGCGGACTGTGGTACTCTTTCATCCACCAGGATGGGATCGGGTCCAGGCTGGGCAGTTCACTCTTCCAGTCTTCGACGCCATCGGGCTGACTCTGCTGGAGCTCTGAATGAGAAGCACTCGTCTGATTCGCCATCGAAGTTCCGATCTATTGGTCGTTAAAGGCTCAGCTCCGGATGGACTTGATACTTTCATGAACATGAGAAAGTTCGACACACTAGAAAGAGAAGCAGAAGACATTCCCAATGGGTTGGAATCCGAGTTACCATGGCCAGATAACTGACTCTACCTAGCCCACACAAGATTAGCGCGCACTTCCTTCGAATTGGCATTCGAACCGACCAGAACGAACCGATTAATAGTTGCAAAGTGGCTATTCACCGCTCGAAACGACCTCAACAAGAGCCAGAACTAGCTTCTAACAGGGAACGGACCGCCCAGTGAATGTAAACATGTCCTCAAAAACATACCCATCACAGCCCATCACCCGTTGTAAGACTCAAAAGTGGTTGTGAAACCCTTTTGCTGAATGGAGAAGGGTATGTTGGAGTTGCAAGCTCTGCCCTTCTATGCTATCAGAACAACAAGACCACCAAGCTTAGCTTGGCAGTTATATTTATCGTGATAGAGGATAGTTCAAGATGAAGCTTCCGAGTGATGTGTATAAGGGTCTGAAGTTGTTAAATGAGTGATGATTATATTGATGGAGTTGTTGTTCAAAGCTTTAATACCAAGGCTTGGAGCTCTGGGAGCGCTATGCTTCAACCAGTAATGGTATGTGAGGCAGGTTATGGGCACTTGGCACTTGTTATGATGATGAAACTGTTATGGTTGTATTTCAATATAATGTATTGTTATGGCTGTCACTTGTATATAATCTGTAAGGGTGGTTGAGATGATCTGGTCCACTGGTGGGATGATGAAAGGTACAACTGGCAGGCAGAGGCCTCCTTATATAGACAAAAGTGAGGGATTTTAGCTCCAGGGTACATGCAGGTGAGGGAATTTAGCTGGCCTGAAAATCCAATGAGGGAATTTAGCTAGTCTAATACATGCAGGTGAGGGAATTTAGCTGGCCTGAAAATCCAATGAGGGAATTTAGCTAGTCTAATACATGCAGGTGAGGGAATTTGGCTGGTGAGAGCACTGCCTTGAGGGATTTTGGCTAGCCTACAAGGTCCTACTACAAAGGAATGCATGTGCACCTACAAAGGAATTCAATATGAAATATAAGCCAGTAAAGGAATTCAATATGATACAAAGGAATTCAATATGAAATATGCATCCAGTATTCGAAATGAGACGTGGTCAGGATAATAATAAAGAAAAGCTCCTGTGACAGCTTGAGATAAGTGTAACTTCTGAACTAGTAGAGATAAGAGGGTAGTTGTAGTGAGTGACTAGGGGTTATTTTACCTCAGGAATCCATTTTTGATGTTATTTTTACCCTATCTTCAATATCTAGAAAGATAATAATAAATTTTTATATTTTTGGTGTAGAAACACAGGAATAATTACCACATCCTCCCCCAACTTATTGACTGTCCCCAGTCAATTCTGACTTTGACTGTGTTTCGGGGTTATATCTACAGAAGAATTTGAAAGAGCCTGGCCTTGCGAGTGTCTGATTGGCTTGAGGGGTGTGGAGTTGATGATGAATTTGTGTCCCCGAGTTTTTAGCAAAGCGTGCGTCCAGAGTATGGATTTGACCGGTGGTGGATCTGTTTGTCGAGTATTGTACATGAATCTTACAGCCGGAGAACTTGTTTATTTGTCCAACTTTTTTGATTGTAGTAAAAAAAATATGTTTTTATCTTGTTTTATTTATTTTATTTTGTTTTTGTTTTATTTTATTTTATTTTCATCAAGTACTGGGATTGAACTTGAGTCCTCAGCAAAAAAAATTTCTGTGTAGTGGTACATATAGTTTTGGAGAAAAAAACTTAGAAAAAAAGTTGGTGTTTTCTGAAAACTCAGCCATGATGAGCCACCAAAAAATTGCTCCAGAGTTTTACAGTCCATGTTGGATATTCCATGGATGGGGCTTGAACCCATGCTTCAGATGAGTATCTTGAGTTCTGACACCGCTCAACTAGACTTGCTGCTTGACCGGCCTTTGAGTTGGAACAACAGTCCTTCGCGCCGTAGTCCGTCTGTAGCGGCCCTGTCACAAGTGTGACAGGTCCCGGTCCGATCGGCGATGGGTTATGCCCTTCCCCGTTTGGTAGGTCTCCATGGATACAATCTCAAGTTCTCGTCCGTCCCGTCACCTCAATCTCAAATTCGATCCCAGCAAACAACTCGAACGATACGTAAATCGATCTCGACTCGGACTTCTCCCCGCTTTCGCATCTTGACTTCAACTTCCTCTCAACTCATCCGACCTGTCCGTCTAAATCTCGAATTCGATCCTAGCCAAATGACTCGAACGATATGCCACTCTATCTTGATTTCAAGCGCCACAACCTCGAACGACCCGTGAATCCATAGGCACTTGTATCTGTCCTTCGGCCGCCACTAGCTCCGTCCTCAGCGAGATGGTGCTCTTTTAGCTTCAGGTGAGTCTTTTCTGTCTTCTAATTTGTTTATCCTGCTTCTTCTAGCTCGATCTTATTCTTCCATATCGACTGACAGCTGACTAGAATCTTTCTTGTTTTTAGCAATCTCTAGGATGTTTAGGACTGTTGTCATTGGATTGATTGGTCGACCCCACTCCGAATCGATCGAACGATACCACAAAATCCTTTGCGCTAGTCTTCTCCCACAATGTCTCTGCATTGTTGGAAACTGCCGTGGGCCTTCTTCGCTCCTATCGATACCTTTGCAAGCGCCCTTGATCTCGTCCATAAATACCGGTATTGTATCGTCGTTTTCAGCCTCTCCTTACCAGCTCACTCCCTTTGCTAGCTACTTGCACTCCACTTCCAAACACCCGCGCTTTCATCGAATCGTCTCTTCAGTTATTTCTCTTCTTTCAACTGTTACCACCATGTCGTCCAAACCTCTACCACGTCCTCGCCTGTTGAAATCCCGGCCCCTTGTGGCTACCAAACGACATCTAATTCAACTCCCGTCGACGATGTAAGTCATAGTCGCTTTTCGCTTTTAATCCTTATCGATTGCTAGTTGCTGACGTTGGCCTTGTTTCTAGACTTCATATGTACAGAATAGAACATTTAATCGGGTCCGATCCTATACAGCTTTCTGGCAATCCGATTGCAAGCCTTTGATTCATCTCTTTAGTATTTTCATTGATGTCTTTCCAAAGTATTTGATTGTGCCGGTTTCTTCAGTACCATCTCCTAATCTATCCAAGCACTACCTGATTGCTATTATCTCATGCCCTGGTAAAGAAAATAAAGAGATTTTTTTTTTTTTTTTTTTTTTTTTTTTTTTTGAAAAAATCCAAGTAAGATGATGTGAACTGTACCCCTCCCCCAACTTTGATGGTTGTCCCCAACCATGGCTGATTTTCATGAGTAAGAGTGAAGGAATCTTTTTGAATAAAATGAGTTTGAAGAAAAGAAATAAAGAAAGGGAAAAACAAAAGAGATAACAGACTATCCTATGGAGCTTTCTCCCCCAACTTGTAAAATTTGGCTGGAATTGGTATGTTTTTATTGTTTGTGTATTTTCATTCTTTATTTTTTACTTATTTATTTATTTATTTATTTTTTTTTTGATATGGTATTTATCTTTTATCTTTAAATTTTTATGTTTATTTGATAAGATAACTAAAAACTGACTTAGAAATACAGAAAAGAAATTCAGAGAAAGATATGAAAAAAATGTTGTTATTCTGAAGTGTTAGAATCCCTGTCGGAGCTCTCTTCTGAGCTATGATCCGAGTCTGAATGTAAATGTGAGTCTTCTTCGTTCCGAATATCTGATAAAAGCCGTCCTCGTGGGTAGAACCTCTTGATGTGAGATGCAGCATAAGCCCTTTTTAGTTCAACTCCGTCTAGTTCCTCGAGTATATAGGATCCTCCGTTCAGTTGTTTCTTGACTTTAAATGGTCCATTCCACCTATTTTCAAACAATTTTCCCCACTGATCCTCTAGACTCTTGTTGTAAGTTAAAACTAGGTCCCCGGGTTGGAGTGGTTGTCGTAATCTAGCCGCCATTTTCCGATCCCAGAACCGAACTGAATTCTCTCGAGTTTCCATCATTTTGTGGTGAGCTATGTCCAAAATCTCGTCTCGTCTTTCCAACTGTTTTGTCCTTGCTTCCAGAAGTTCTGCTGTAGTACTGATTTCCGTCCAATCAATTCCCAGGTAGGTGTCCATTTCGATATCCACAGGTAGAACTGCCTTCTGTCCAAACATCAGCTCGTACGGAGAATATCCAGTAGTCCTTTTTGTTGAGATTCTGTCTGAGAATAAAACTAGAGGTAAATATTCCCTCCATTTTCCGCCTGATTCGCCACACATTTTTACTAATGTATCTTTGATTGCCCTGTGGCCTCTTTCAATCATTCCATTTGCTTCAGGGTAGTATGGCGTAGTTGGTTTGAATTTGGCTCCAATGCTTTCCACCGCCGTAATAAACTCGTTCTTGAATTCTGGCCCATTGTCTACCGTAACTGTCTTGATTGCTCCGTATCGATACACCCAGTCTTCTAGAAGGAATTTAGCAATAGTGGATGCTGTTAATTTGACCAATGGTGCTGCTTCTGCCCATCCCGATAAGTCGTCTCTAGCAATTATTAAATATTTATACCGTCCAGCTTTGATATGGCAAACGTCCAAAGCCACTCGTCCAAATAGAGTTGTTGCCCCGGTTGGGTCCCTGATTTCTCTAGGTACTAAAGCATCTCTTTTCTGACAGGCCTCACAACTTTGAACCCACAACTTTGTTTTCTTCTTCAAACTGGGCCACCAAAATCTGCAAACCAGTCGTTGATAAGTTTCCTCCAATCCTCTGTGCCCCAATTCTTCATGAACTTTTCTCAAGAGTTTGCTTTGGTAAGAAATGTTGGAGATAACTAGTTGAGCCATGGGTGAGTGTCGCCGCATGAGTCGTCCATCTTGGATAAAGAAGTTAACTGATTTCCGCTTTATTGACCGGTATTCTTCAGGATCCATGCCTGTTGGCCGTTTCATCGTACTTAAGTAATTCTTGAGATCCATCCAAAATCCTGGTGATTCCCATTCCAAAAGTTCTTCTGATATTGAAAATGTCCGGAACTGGTAAGTTGCTCATATCACTGGCTCATCTTCATCAAAGTCTGGCTGATCTTCATAGAATTCTTCCTCTTCGTCACTTATAG